ACAGTTCCGAGAAATAGTCATAAATAGCTCTTTATTTCATTCCGAAGCATAAAAATATTTCAAAATAAATATTAAACCAAACTACTTTATATGAATGGTACTCTAATATAATAGTTGTGGTAAACTGATTTACAGAGACTAACGTGACTCAGCCTCCCTTATATAAAAGACATGCAATATAATCGTGAACCCTTCTAAAATGTTGGTATAGGGAAAATTGCTAGTTTGCTTTCAAAAGGTGATCACGTCTGGAGGTACCTCTAACAACAGCAAACACAGCAAGCTTCTAGATCTATAATTCAGCCTCCATCAGGACGAACTGTGGCAGGCATCTGACACAACACATCCCCACAAGAGAGAACGGTAAACATAGAAGTCACACAGCTTTCACCGTAATGTCTAAGGCATTAAAGTATTTCCATAAATCACATATTACCTTTTTAACTACATATAAAAATAATCCTTGAAACAGCCTGGGTCCCAAATATCATAGAATCCTGAGGCTACTGGGTAGGAAACAAATGATATTCACTGCACTCTTTTTTTTTTCTTTTAAGTTTCAGAAGAAAAGCAAAATCAGAAGTGTTATATTAGCACCACTGCTAACAAAGGTTTGACATAAACGTGGAAAATTTAAAGTACCTATTCTTCAACTTCAAGAAAGGAAAAGATCATTCCTTGGCTCTTGTCCCAAGCTGGGAACAAGTAAACACAGAACCGGTTTTAAATAAGCCCCAATCAATCAATCCTTAAACTCTACTCAATATCTCCACTGAAGTACACAGCTGAGAAAGTAAGCCAGTCAGGAACTGCCCCCCTTCAGTACCTTCGCTCCTCAAAGCTGGCCAGTCCCTAAACTCCAAGTTTAAAGTCAACCAATCCTTAAATTGTCTCACTTTTGAAAAAAAAAAATCCTAAAACTCCATGCTTCCTCAAAATCCTACCTAAGTACATCTCTGCCTGTTTTGAGGACTATACTCTGCAAGCATAATTCTCCCTTGCTCAGCAAGTATGAAATTCAGCTTTGATTTAGCTACACTTGAGTGGTGGTCTCTTCCTTCAATAATACGATAAATATTATGGTTACTTGGTTATTAGCATTTTTCTTCATGAAGCTAAGAAAAATATTTGTTATAATAATTCAATTTTATGGAAAGTTGAGAGTCTTTGCCTTTTAAGCCTAAGTATAATCCTTCTAGCCCAATACACAGCTGCACTAACAAAGGGGTCCCTTTCCTTCTCCTCTCAATCCCAGACCCACACCTCACACTATCAATGGTCCAAACCCAGCCGATGGATGTACCATATGAAACACTAAAATTTCCAATTACTGAAACTTGTATCAAGAATTGAGTATCATCAAATAGTCTTCAAAGAATATGGTAACTGAGCAAATATTTAAGTAGATACTCTTTCTGACCTAATAGAAATGACAGTGTCGCTTGGTTTTTTAAGATCTGAAAACCTAAATTCTAAATCCTATCTTTGGGACTGGTTTACTTGGGTAAACTGATCATCTCTTCTTAAATTTTCCAGTCTAGAAAATAAAGCGACCATCACCAGCTCCTACCACCTCACAAAAATGATGTATGTACTCATTTAGAGTAAGATGAACTCTAAATGTTTCAGAAAGGCAAATAAAACCCAACCGTTATGTTATTTTGTTTGTTGCTAAAGTCAACTCAGCTTGAGGTTTAGGTCAGCATAGACAAAAGTAAGAAAAACTGTCTCAATTTGACATAAAAGATGGCTGAAGAGAGTAATATAGGTTCTAATTAGAAAATTAGAATGAATGGGAGTCCTATCCCAAATATAAATCCCTCTATCAAACCGGCAAAGTGAATGGTGCGAGAGGGCTGCCTGACCCAAGTACACTCAGATGCGGCTGAGGGCCACGTTTTGGACGGCTTGTGGATTCAGCGTTCTCGAAAAATAAATTCTAAACGGCAAGCGGTGCTACCTTACGGTTTGTCAAAGCTCCGTGGAGTTTCCACTCGCGTCCAGGTCAGAGGAGGATTACGAACACTGAATTACCAATTGATTCAAGCTAACATGAACATCTGACTAGGCGTTAAAGGAAACCAGAATGTCACCGCAAGATCTGCCATTTTGGCATATTGGTTATTTTGAATTAAAGGCACTTAAGAAACAGCAGGTACAAGAAAGACACTCTGAGTCTCCTTTGTCCTTCCTGAAAGCAAGAGATAAAACTCCCATGTGAAAGGTACTCTCCCTGTACCAGGAGGAAGACATTCTTATCAGCAGAGGCGGGGAACTGGGGGCTGAGAAATCTGTACAAACAAACCTTATTACAGTAAAACCCTTGTCTTGCTGTTACCTCCTCACCACTCATTGCCCCTGGCCCACACCCCTTGGTCTTGTCAACTCTTCACAAAGTTATCGTTTGTCTAAAGTGTGCAAAAGCTTCCTGCTCTGGTCACTTCTTCAGGTCTTCATTCTCTTGTGAAGGCTCCCATGCATATGTAAAAGTTTAATAAAATGTGTATGTTTTTCTCCTGTTAATCTGTTTTATGTCAGTTTGATTCTCAGGCCCAGCTAGAGACCCAAAGAGGGTAGACGAGAATTTTCCCTCACCTACAGTGCCAAGAGGCCTACTTAGTTAGGTTAGGCATAGATTTGGTGAATTCATACAGAAACTGTCAAATTTATTTCTAGAGAAGAATCCATGGAGAGGCAGTATAGCTCAGAGGAAACAGTCAAAACTACATTATGAGTTTGGTGACCTTGAATAAGTTACTTAATATCTCTGAACCTGTTTCCTCGTCTATAAAATAGGAATTATTTCACAGGACTGTCAGAAAGATTAAAAAAGATAATGATAACTAGTAACTTTAAAAGTATCCTAAGCATCCGGACCTCTGAGTCCTGGATTTACTTTTGTCACTAACTTGCTATAATACACATGACAAGTCAGTTGATCTAAGTCGGTTTCCTCATCTGTCAAACAGTGGTGTAACGCATACCCTACACATTTCATGGGGTATTTATGACAATTAATGTGAAAAGGATTTTTCAAATATAGAGAAACCCTGGGAGTTTTGACTGGGAGATAATTAATTCCACACCCACAAAAATGAAGAGGATTCATACTAACAAACTTGTTACAACCCAGGATTATATAATGCTCCAATTAAATTAACTTTACTAAGAAAAACATTTCACGCCTAAGAACATACCCAACACACCAGACCCGTTGGCAGCCACTCGGCCATTAGCTACAAGAATTCTTTTCCACGCAATGAACGCACCAAATTGGCTCAGCTCTCCAGTGAACTAAAAGCAGTTCAACACAATCTTTTGTTCGAGTCGGGTGTCTGCCACTTAAAACTACCCCTTCAATTTCTAAAGCATCAGGGAGAAAAAGGAAAAGAAGAAAGCTATACATTGCAGGGTTTCTCAACAGCAGCAGTGTTGACACTTGAACCAGATCATGTTTCAATGTCGGGGTTGCTCTGTGCACCGTAGGGTATGTAGGCGCATCCTTGGCCGCCACCAACTGGATGCGCAGAGCAGCACCCCTCCCACACAGCTGTGACACCTAAAGATGTCTCCAGGCATTGCCAGATGTCCCCAGGGTGAGCTGCGGAGGAGACAAGATCATCCCCAGTTGCGATCCACTGAGCTACAGCCATAGTACTACCTTCCAGTCGTATTTATCTCACATCTCTCTCTCTCTCCCTATAGACTGGTGGCTTACAATGCAGTCTGAAAAACTAACAGTTTTGCAACATAAGAACTCAAGAAAAGAATGCTGTCTGTAGGACAGTAACGTCGTAAGAAGAATTACAGGTACGGTAGGGAGTTACGGTTCAATTATCTCTTCCATCAACATGCTGTTTTTGCCTCATCCTCTCTAAGAATTCTCTTCTTGGGAGTTTTTTTGCGGTGACAATTTGGTTAACCTGTCACTAAAGCTTAGTCTCCACCCAGACTTACTAATTCTTATTCGTTAGTGTTTACGTTGAAAAAGAAAAAAAAAACAAGCCTTGACGTTTTAATTTCTAAGCAACCAAATATGAAATTAATCAAAATTAAGTGTTACATAGCTATTTAAATTATTAAAATTAAACATATTTAAACATTTAAAATATTAAGTAAAATTACCCAAATTAGTATTCAGCTATTACTGTAAATATATATGTTGAAGGTAATGTGCAAAAATAAAAGAAACCATACGAAGTAGAATTTTAAGAATTACATTTAATGCCTACTACATTCCATCACTGGGCTAGACACATGGTTTTCTACAAGAAACAATTTCCATAATATCAGTACTTACACTGGTACTCTTAACATGGTAGTTTTTAAATTTGCCTAGGTAAATATAAATCTTAAACACAATTTGGATAAGTTATCTAGGATGCTATATTTCACCTGGTCAGTGTTAGAAAGAGTGGCTTCTGTTGTCTTCAAACAGGACGGCTGACCGTCACTGCCCCTCTGCCGGGAGCTATCTGACACAATTAATCGTCAACCTGCTCTCCCAGAGCCTGAACTTAAAAAGTGACAAAGCCTGAGCCATCAACAGGCCACTTAAGACGCAATTCTACTTCATACCATATCTAATGTTCTTAAGGAAGCTAACTGCAATTGTGGTTAAAAAAAATAGTGATAATCACTTCAACTCCATTAAATTTAGGGACGCTACAATAGCAGATTTAAGATTTTGTGAACTGCAAAATGAGACAGCACATCTCCACTTCTATACTTGCGGAGGGTTCCTGTTTTAGAGTCCTGGGACTTGGTTATTCAGATCAACTCTCCCGCTGAAAGCTAAAAAAGCTAAACAAAATATAACTGTTATCTGTTGTAGGGGAAAAGCTCTGAAATTAATCATGAAATCTACAATGGCATAAATTTATCAATATATAATCTGCAATGGTTCACATGTGAAATACTCACATTAGGAAGTAATAAAATTGTGATAAATGTATGGAGGTTATAGTATGCCCTGAAAGAAACCCACAGAAATAACATACCTAGTTTTGTATGTATGGTTCAAGTTCCTGTGTTTCCACATTGTTCCACACAATTCCACTCATGACAAATATCACCAGATCCTCTTTCTCTGACAAGAAATACAGCTCAGTGTTAACGGGATGATCCGCAGAGAAACTCAAACTCATTCCGATGTGTGGAACTTTGGCCTGATTCACTTAACCGGGCGGAAACCTGCCTAAACACTTCACACAACCCCTCCATCGCCCTCTATTATGCAAGCTGCAACATTTTAAGGCAACTCCCTTATTTTACCAGCTGGCCCTGTCAACACTGATGTAACAGAACTGGAAAAACTCATCACTCCACCATGATATTCAAATATCAAACTGTATTTCACTTGGGAAAAATTATACGGTTGCCAAATAAAACTACTGCAAATATAGTAAACTAGGCAAGGCTCTGAGTCATTCTTTTCTTGAAAAGGACTCTTGGGGAACCTCGAATCCATCCTGCGACCGCGCAGGCCTTCTTTTGCTCCTCTGACCCCGCCCCGCCCCACCCCTCAAGCGTCCGGGGCAGAGCGGGGGCGGCAAGAAGGCCAGGATGAGCTCATTAGCGTGCGCTCCGTCCACTCTAGTTTTATCCCCACGGGTCCTTCCTCACACTCTGCTCCTCCAGAAAGAGAGCTATGTTTTATTCATCTCTGAACTCCCCAAACCTCAGCCAATATCCTGCATATAAAGTCATGCCTAACATCTACTCCATGGCAAGCACCAGATTCGGGACTAGAGACAGAGAAGTAGAAGAGATACGAACCTCAGCCTGGATGGATGTTGGCTGCCTGAACGGAATCAAGTAATGAAAGGCCAGTTAGCACAGCGCCAACTGCCTGTGTTCCTTTCTCCCCTTGCCAATCAAGGCTTAATGAGGAACCAAAGAGGGCTTTCTCTTAAGAAACACAAACGTGTGTCTTCAGCCCTGACCATTCCCCTGAGTTCCACATCCATACATCCAAGGGCCTACTCAACGTGTCGACTTGCAGGGCGTTACAGGGATAAACTGCATGGGCTTGGAAGTCAGACGGCTTGGGGTTTGAATCCCAGCTCCATCACTGCCCAGCTGGGTGCCAGCAGGCGGGTCACTTTGAACCTCTCTGTGCCTCTGTCTTCTCCCGCGTAAAGTGGGGACCCTGAGGGCTCCTGGCACACACAGCTGTGATATAAGGATTAAATGAATTAACATGTGTAAACATGCTTAAAACCCCATCGGGCACACAGTTCACGCTTACACGGTGCTTACTGTTATTCCTAGCGCCAGTACTGCTGTTACTATGTCTGTCAGGCATCTAAAACTCGTCCAAAACAGAACGCACGGTTTTCTTCCCAAACCCCTTTCTCTCGTCTCGGGAAACAGCGCCACTATCCATCCAGCTGTTCCAGCCTAAAACCTGAGAAATCATCACTTCTTCCTTTTCCCCACCCTCCAACTAGCAAGTCCACACCAGCACTCCTGGCTTCAGAAGCTTTCCACGACTTTGCCCACGTACCATCACCTCGCCAGTACCTCCCTAGTGCAGGCGCCCACCGTCTCTCCCCAGGGGGCAGCAAGACTCTCCCATCTCCCCACTCCCAACACTCCCCGCTCCACAACTCTCCGGCTAACTCTCCATCCAAGAGCACTGAAGTCAGACGCTATTCCCGTGATGCAAACCTCCCTGTGGCTTTCCGTCACGCTTCGAGGAGCATCTTCACTGCCCCATGCCTACAAGGGCCCTAATCCCATCGATAAAAATGGAGCTAGTAATACAGACCTCAGAAGGCTGTAAAAAGTTCATTAGGCGTTTAGACGAGGGCCTCACACACAGTAAGCTCCAGGCAAGGTGCACTGCTATGATTATTCCTGCCTGACATGCTCTTACCTCAGGCTCTTCCTCTCCCGTCAATCCATTCAACTACCACCCCCCTTGAGAGGTGTCCCCAGACAAACCCCCTCTGAAACGACCTGCCCTGCTCTCCCACTCTTGGCCTTGTCTTCCTTTGCTTCACCGCACTTACCGCCGTCTGAAATAACATCACGTCCTTGCTCTTTGCTGCCCGGTGCCCCGCCGGAACGTGAGCTCCACTAGGTTGGACATGTCATCTCATTTGATGCTCTAGTTCCGCTTCTGACCCAGGACCTGACTCTGAGAGCACAACACACCTCTTCCCCAGGTTAGGGAACCGGCGTGAATTTCTTAGTAACGACACCGTACTGAGCCAGCCTCTCGTTTTCACCTTCATGACCACAGCTGAACCTCAGGAGAGCGACAGTACGCATACCATCATCTCCCATTTTAGGGAGAAGGCTCAAGTTCCAAGTTTGGGTGACTCATCTTTGGACGCAAAGGCTAGTAACGAGCAGAACAAAGGTTCGAACCCCGGCGTTCCCAGTCTAAGGCCCTTCAAACTAGGATGGAAGAGTATTAGGCCCTGGAGCTGACTCTACGGAAACGTGATCTCTCAGTCTCCTGAATAAATACATCGGGGGTGCCTGGTCCTCTGCCCTTCGAAGTTCCTGACAAGCACTTGCCCTGCATCTGAGAACGATTCTGGCACAGCACTAACGCGTCGGCGGCGCACCAAGCCCGGGCGGGCAGGCAGCTACGACGGCGGGGCGTTCCAAAGGGACACGGCAGCACCCCGCGACTCTGCCGGGGCGCTCACAGTTCTCTCTGCAAACCCGCACGGCGGGGCCTCATAATCGCCGAGAGCGCTTTGGCGTCGCTTCCAGCGACTTCTTGGCCCCCGTCCACCACGTTCAGATCGGCCGTCGGGCTCGAGGGCGGTCCAGGATCAGAGCGGGCGGAGGAAGGCGGGAGGCGGACCCGCGGCAAGGACCCCGGCCCACGAGACCTCTGTCAGAGGGCTGCGGGTCCCCACGTTCGCAGAGTAGCCCACTGCCTTCGTACGCTTTCTCCTGGCGCGGTCAGATGCTAGTGTCACCTCGCGTGCTCTCACGACGCGCCCGGCCCTGGGGCTGCCTCGGAGGGAGGCCGGAGGCCGCTTCGCCTCCAGTGTACGGAAAAGGGCACTGAGGCAGCAAGTGGTCATCCCTGCAAGTGGCTCCGCCTCAGCCCACCTGGTCGCTCGCGGGACCCCAGAAGAAGCCCGGGCGGGGGGGGCGGGTGTCTCCGCAGGAACCCTGACTCAGTATGTGCAGAGGGGAACCCAGTGCCCCCATCGGGGAAGAAAGAAAGGGGCCTCTCCCCCCCCGGACTCCCCCCTCCCCGGCCTCGATCACGGCCCCAGGGGAGACGCTGCGGTGCTGCCGGGGCGCGGCCTCGCCTGCTCGCACGCCCGCCCCTCCCGCCGCGGAGGGCGCGCTCCCGGCCCGGGCGGGCACCTGTCCCGTCACCGCGTTCAGCGGCTCCCCGGACCGCCCCAGGAGCAGAACCCACGGTCACCACCGACTCCGGGGGTGCGAGCAGCCGGGCTAGCCCCGCAGGCCCGGGGAACTGCAGGAAACCTCAGAAACTTACAGTTTTCCTACCGCGTGCGCGTCACGGCGAGGTGACGTCACGAGACCCGGCGCCCGGGCAGGTCAGGCCGCGGGTCGCCGCCGCCCGCCCCCCCACGGCCCCGCCCCCCGCGCGCCGGCGGGAGACACGCCCTTCCTCAGCGGCCCCGCCCCGCCGCGGAGCCCTGGGCGCGGGCGCAGGCGCAGGCGCAGACGGCCCACGTGGCTGCAAAGACCCTGGGAACACAGCAAGCGGGCTGTCGCCCGGGGGCTGGAGCAGGACGCCAGGGTTGTGAGGTAGATTTTCCACAGACATTGCCTTCCCTCCCTCACGTGTTCCTTAAGAGTCCTCCACATGAGGAAACAGCCATTTGCTCTTCACCAGGTGCCACGGGCCCCTCGGCCGGGCGGGGTTAGCTCCCCCACCGGCCCTTGCTCCTGCCTCGCCCCCTCGAGACTCCGCCGCAACTGGATAGGCCCTGGCTTGGCCCCGCCCACTCTGATTATGCCCCGCCCCAGGCCCCGCCCCAACCGGACCTGCTCCGGCTTTGGCCCCGCCCACACCGGCTCGGCCCCGCCCCCTAGGGCCCGCCCTTCCGGCTCCCGCTCGAGGCTAGGCGGGCGCCCGGCGGCCCCACCCTGCCCCGGCGGCTCCTCTAGCCTTTTACTTGAGTTTTTAGCCTCTACCCTTCCTACTGGGTTTCCCGCTTTGGCTCAGTGAGACGACTTGCAGACTACCGTTCTCCTCTATTAAGCTTAGCAGGCGATGATCTGTACAAACAAGGATGTTCGCTTCTTCGCTCTTGTAAACTTTCCGCCACCTCCTCCTCGCGTGACGACACCTTCCTGCGCCCGTCCCACGGGTCTCTGCCCCTTTTTAGGCTCTTTCCTGTGTTCTGAAAAATGAAGAGTGCTGGTTCAAAGATGGCTCAGTGGAAGGAAAAAGGAAGGCTTGAAAAGCCGACAGCAATATACTAAACATTTATTTCTGACTTGTTGGATTCTTATATTATTACTCTTATAGGCAGAAAAAAAAAACTTGATGCTTAAAAGTGGCTCAGACGAATATGTCTTGAGGAAAAATAAAGAATGGGAAAAACAGGCCTTGGAAATAGACGCTAAGGAGGAAGTACTGAAGAGAGAAAGGATCACTTTGAAAAACTTACTTGGAATCACGACAAATAGCTAGATGAAGCAGGGAATTTTGCCCGGCAGCTCCAGTGTAAATAAAACCTGAAACAATTGTTTGTTTACACTCTCACTGAAAATACTGCAGTATTTTTATAGGAAAGAGTGATGCTGGGGAATGTTAGCCTTTAACGCCTGATAACTGGGCTGGTTAAAAATAAACGTACTATTCAGGAAAAATCCACGTAAGTAATTAAAGCTTAGAGAAGTTTCTGATTTGGATATTATTCGTACATTTTATCTTAATATATCATACAAGGTTTTAACGATCATTATCAAATGACATAAGAAATTTTTAGAGTTTGTAGATAACAATTTTAACAAAAATAAGGTTTTTGTTCAGTGGAGCAGAGTTATAGAAAAATAAGCACTTTTTAAAAGTTCTGCATATTGAACAAATGACAGTATATTTTCCTTGTAAAACAACAATTTTAAGAAACCTTTAAATTGTTAATTTCATTATTTACATGCTTATAAAATCCCCAAAATTAGAATTCTTTTTTTTTTTTTTTTTAATTTTATTTTTGGCTGCATTGGGTCTTCGTTGCTGCGCGCGGGCTTTCTCTGGTTGCGGCGAGCGGGGGCTACTCTTTGTTGTGGTACGCATGCTGTTCACTGCGGTCGCTTCTCTTGCTGCAGAGCACGGGCTCTAGGCACGCGGGCTTCAGTAGTTGTGGCGCGCAGGCTCAGTAGTTGTGGCGCACGGGCTTAGTTGCTCTGCGGCATGTGGGATCTTCCCGGACCGGGGCTCGAACCCGTGTCCGCTGCACTGGCAGGCAGATTCTTAACCAATGCGCCACCAGGGAAGTCCCTAGAATTCTTTTTTAAGGAGATTCTAGATACTCCTATGGGAGCATCCCACACATCGTATATGTCATCTGTCCTTTTATGGAATGGAAATGGTTAAGAAGTATACACCAAATGCATTAAAAGTTCTTCAATACAAAATACTTTTGCCTCTGTAAGATGGTATGACAGAAGACATTCCTTTCTTCTCATCTTATTATTTAACAATTTTTTTCCCTTGATACCCCAAGATTTTCAAACAAAACAAAACAAAAACAAAAACCTCCTGTCTTGCTAGATGCAGGAAAGAAGTAATGCGGCCAACAAAAGATTGACAGGCAGAAAGCGTACCCAAACAAGGAGAGGAACCTCAGGGAATATCTAGTAGAAATTTGGGGGAAATACATGATCAGATACAGTCAAGTTTCTGTAACAGACTGGAATCTGATCTAGATAAGTAGCCAGGAGCTAGGGTCAAACGTATGTTGATATTAGAGAGAGGAACTGTTAGGAGAACTGCTTTCTTTAAGGAAAAACAAAAACAAAACAAATCCCTGGACATTCAAGGGTTAGCACTGGAAGGACTAAGGACCTTCCTTCACTCTGGCCCTTGGGGTTTCAGTTTCCCCTGGTGGTTGTTTCACTTTGGTGTCTGCTGCCCCTCGCAAGCTGGGTTCCAGGGCCCTGTCTTCATAACTCTTCCTTTTGTCCTATTGGCAAACTGCGAAAAGCTGAACCTTAACACTAGGGGAAAACAAAAGGTTGAAATATAATGGCTAATATTTGTCGAGTGTTTATATGCGCCAGACACTGCATTAATTCATTTAATCCTTGCAACTGGATGAGGAAAGTGCTGTTATTATCTCCCATTTACACACGGGGCAAGCAGAGTGCAGGAGACCAAGTGTCACACGTCTCACAGCCTCTGAGTAACAGAGTCAAGATACTCTAGAATCTGCAGCCATAACCACTGATCTGTATTGAGTTTCAAGTAACAAGGCAAGAAACAGGGACTTGGAAAGTGCAAGATCTGTAAATTCTAGCTCCCAAAGACTGACCACAGTGTAGGCGTATCTTCTTCACCATTTCCTGGCCTGTCTCCGCACTTCTATTTCCATTTTTGAGGTGCTCATCATGACCTAGTAAATTGATTTTGTGACCCATTAATGGATTACCAGCCTGAAAAACACTAATCAGATCCCAAATATCAAATATCAAATTGTATCCCATGCAATAAGGGTAAATGTTCCCAAAACACAAGCTTCAGTAAACTACTGTTTCAGTAACGTGTGTGTTTTCTGAGTTGCTATGTTAATGTATTTCTTACCATGGATCTCAGTTCAAAAAGTTTCAGAAACACTATTATAACCACCAGTTGCCTGACTTCTATGCATATTTCATCATTCAGAATCTAGATCAAGACAAACCAAATCCCATTCCAACCCCCTTGCATCCCTCCCAGCTCCAGGATCTGGTCGAGATAATCAACACAATAACCAGGTCACTTCTACATCCAGAAGGGCTCTTGTCTCCAGGACAAAAACCGACACTGTAATAA